TTCACACGGTCGCAGAAAGAAATGCACTCTGTATGTCGTATTCATAGTTCGAAACAAATTGTTCTTGCAAACTCGTGAAAATGCTTCAGGTTCAATGTGTTCCTTTACAATATTTTGTTTGTGAGCTCAATAAGTTTTTCTAACATACCTTTTTCAACTTCAATTCAAAAAGTATAAGGCATATTTTCGAAAATATAAATTGACATTCAGAAACATCCTATATAAATTCAGTGAATTCTCACGTTTTTGTCGATATTAAGTAGAGAATAGTGGTGGTGTGGGACAATTTGTAGTGATACACTTGAATTCATCTGAAATTGAGATTTTGAACCTGCGGACACAAAATACTGACCACAGGTTTCTATTTTCACGAAATTCATGAAAGTGCCAATATCTTCAAAACTATCGATATGTGCATTAAATATTCTGGTCAGTCGTGAGCTGGGCTATCAGCCCTTTAAACAATGACGTTGAGTTTTGGGACACCCTGTATACCTACAGGGTGAGTCTCTACTATTAGGACATAGGCTGAGGGCGGATTGTTTGGACCAATATATGACGATATGACCAAATATACCTCGAAAGAATATTGCTGTGGAAATAGATACACAGGGCGTTTCAATATAATAAAATTCCAAAAATACTGTTATATAGGTACTTATATAAGATCTGAGAATATCAAAAACAGGAACGAATAGTCGAAATCTAGAACAAAAATACAAAACAAATAAAAGAATTGAACGTAAGAAACAAACTGATATAGGATTAGAAAAATGAATTTGATACATATCATGCAATTTATAAGTGTATGTGATTAACTGTTGATTGATAATGATATAGGTTATGAAATGTTTCAGTAGATCAGTAGATCAATAGTCAAATCAGAAGATCTATTGAAAATTCAGTAGAACTGGCAACACTGCAGCAAAACGAAAGGTGTCTGCGGACGAAAAATACTGCGGAAATAGTCGGTTTCTCGTTCGTGAATTAGTACGTAAAATGTGTTTTTCAGTAGATGTCGACGAAAAACAATTTTATTGGAGCTCTGGATTCTTTTATCGCTTGGAGCGCACGAAAGGGAATCCCTATAATGTTCAAAGAACATCGTGCGTTCCTAGGGAGGATAGGGATAGGAGGTAGGTATTGGAATTTTTTTTGAACTTCTGCAATTTATTGTTCACAAATAAATGGCATTTTAATTTCACCGTATACCACTTCAAACTTCAACCTGACCTGGCCTTGCATAGTAATTGAGGTTGTACACCTCAGAATACCGTTACCTCAATTATATTTAACGATATGGATGATATTTTCAATTTGTAGGTATTCACGTTCTTGTTCAATGATGATCCAGAATCAATGAATCAATAAAAGAAATACCCTCGGAATTACCTCTACAGACGTTTTTAGAATGGTCACGTTCAATGATTTATGGATCGCAGCGAATATATCCGAGAGGTTCTTACGCTTTCATTGATGACGTAATGCTGGATCTCTCTGAAAATCCTACCGGATTATCAGAGAGAGATTGACGTGGCCCTTTCAGACTAAAAAGTAATTTGACTTATCTACATGTTCCGAGACTTTTTGAGATACAGACTGAAATTACGTGATTCGTTCGAAAATGGCGCTTCGTTGACAAAAATGCACTATAAGAAACCTGAAATTGATTGATACTTGTGACTATTTCATCACAAGATTGTCGCATTATCTAACCAATCACAATGCAAAGACAACTTGTGTTATCGCGAAAACACTGGTAGTCTTCAAATTCTAGCTGTCTTCAAATTCTTGGTCTATCAGCGTTAGTGTTTTCAACGATGTAATCATGGAAAGCGAAGCAAAGTCAGTCAGTTTGACAAAATAATCATCGCTGTATATGTCATAACGTTAAATATGTCTTTTTCATTTATGATATAATATGCTCATAGGCTTCGTGAAATAGTCTGTCATTGTGAACTCAATTATTTTGCTGTGCAATTTCGTGGACAATAAAAAACAACAAAATTATCTAGAACATTCTTATATCTCTGTTGACAATAATTTGGCCTTCATATTCAATTAGCCATTTTCCTGCTGTATATTTTTTTTTTATCGTTCGGAGCGCACGATAAAAAGTGTTACGGTAATAATATTATGGTTGTGCCTATACTAAGCAGATGATTTTTCATCGAGCAGCTGAATAGAAAGTCGAAAGAAGTGTTATGGTCTCCTTTCAGAAGAATACAAGCACTAGAATCTTCAATTCTTTGTCATTTTTATCTTCTCCTATAATTTCAAATTCATTTCGATGTTCCATAATATATTATGTTGTCTATTTCTAGTAAGGATATATGTTCAGTTAAATTTCATTCGTTGAGTTATCTACTCCGGAAGCAGGAACAAAATAAAAATGATAATAATTGGGCAGATTCATATTGTTCCCATGTTCATTGTCCCTTATACTGATGAATAGTGGTTTATTATGTTTCATCTATATAATACTTTCCACAAAAACACGAGAAATTATTTGTTGATTGCGTTTCTCATTGTTCGATTTTGTTTCATTCAGAACAGGAAGTGGAAATAATAAAAAATCTAGATCCTTGACAGTATTTGAAACTATTGCATTCATGTGGCTTGTGGCTTGTGGCTTATCGCAACACTCGTTATAAGTAAATACCACTGTCAAGAACAACTCTTTTACATAGCCCTCCCTCTCGTAACTTCTTTGTTTGGATATAGGCAAGTTGAAATAAATTGTGTTCCAATTTTGACGATTTCCTCGCTGACCTGGTGCTGGAATATAGGGAAATAATAATTTACAATTGTTTATGATTCCATGGAAAAATCCTAATGTCAAATTGTTTGTTTTGAATACATGTACCATGCAATTTTGATTTGCATGATCACTTGAATAACAATCTATTCACTTTCAAAATATAATTTTTGAGAGTGGGTAACGCGTAATTCTGTGTGACGATAGAATTTTTCCAGAACACAGAGATTAATCCATAACTTTATATACACTCACTTATTTCAACCTCATTCTTCACATTATCAAACATTGATGGTCTGCGACTGAAATCTAGCGGCGGTGCATATCAATATAGGTATACTCTGAAATTACAAATTGAATTCTAAAATTTTGGGACAGAACAAGAGTACAATAAAGTGTTGAGAAAAAAATCTGGATTATCTGTCACTCTTGGTCAAACGTGATGGTAATGAATTCTGCGCGACATTTTCTCATGAGTCATGTAAAATTGACATAATAGGAAATTCAAATAATCAACGATCATTATACCTATTATAGTTTAATCATAATATAGTTACCTACCTATGGTATTATTTCATTACAGGATTGTGTAAATAGTATTGCATGATAAGATCATGATGGTCAGTGCCGCAACTCATATGACAGCAATAGTGTTGATTTCGATGCTATAAAAACTCGAAATAAAATATTTGCACGAAATACAACACATGTATCGAATACATATATTATAATTTTCATGTTAACCGAGTAGAAGAAATGTGCCTTCTCGAGGATTTTTCCTGATAATTAAAGGGGCTAGTGAAGGAAGGAGTTATGTTAAAAATATGAGTTTGTGAGAAAAATAGGTTTTAGCAGGTTTTAGTAAACTTAGCTGGCATTTTTCAATGAAAGCTAGTGCAATAATTTGATTCATGCAATTGTGAGCAATAGTTTCAGGTTGTTTTTTTAGGATTTACCGCATTTTGCTATCATATCATTTTTTGATATACATATGGATGTATGCATACATAACCCTCTCTTCTTTTTTCTGACATGTAGATAATGGGCACATAGATCCTTCTTCCATTGCGTCCTTGATGTTCAGTATCTCATAGCCCCTTCTGCCACTGTATACCTACTCAGATATGAAGAATAGAAACAAATTCTGAAACGGCAAGTTACATATGCACGTAACACCTTCTTCCATGACATGAGCGAATATTTTCAGAAAATGTTTCTTGACCCCTTTCTTCACTTTCCCTTCCATTCTTATTATGAATTTATTCAATATACTATTGAGTATCGGCTCCTCATCCATCATAGTGGTCCTTATTCATAGTGGTGCACATGCACCCACTAAGAGAACTTCAAAAAAATAATGACGTGATCACTCAGTTAAAGATTTCACATACACAAATGTACAGTGTGGAATCCTATATGATGGAATAACATCCGTATCTCCATATCAAAAATATGTTATCAAAAAGAAATCTCAGACAATTCAATTATTATTCTTGGAAGTTTATCTTTCCACATACAAATTTTCAACCAGCTTTCAACACCCTATCCTACAGATCAATCCCTTAAATCTTTCTAAATTGAAAATTGATTTGAGTTACACCTGTGTGAGAGGTATTTCAAATCTCTATATATACAACAGACAATCTGTTTTTCTAATTCAGTGAAGCCATATCCTCAAGAGAGCAGTTGGAAAATTCAAAATCCATTGGAACTTTTCGTAATGGTATGAATGTCTGTCTACAATGAAACAATCACATTGTACATATGCGTAAACGGACTTTCAGTATGAAAAATTTATTTCTAATGTAGGTAAATACATTGTACAAGTGATACAATAAAACAGTACATACCATTACTGAAAATTCAAACAAGAATTCCAATACGCGGATGTGGCTCTGCCGAATTTGATAAAAATTAGTCCGATGAATGGAGATTTGAAATACTTCTCTACAAAAAGGTGTATCTTGACTCCTGCTTGTACAATTCAAAGAGTTTGAAGGTTTTGATCAGTAGGGTAGGAGGTTGACAAGTGGTTGAACATTTCCATGTAAAAAATAGATTTTCGAAAATAGAAATCAACCTGTCTGAGAATTTTTTTAAATATATTTTCGTTTCAAAGTTTCGAATTTTATTCTATCATAAGTTCACATACTGTATTGTGAACTCCGTTCATGATATCGAGAAATAGAAAAAAAACACAAATATTGTTGTTGATATGCATTAATGCATAATATATGTGGAAATACCCAACCTGTTATAAGTAAACAGATGATTGTCTTGAATTTTATATAAATATAGTGAGAGGATCATTGATTCTTCAGACTTCAACTATAGTTCTCTAAGAGTGTTTCTGAAGTTATCTATATTCAATAAAAGGTACGTTGTTATACTTAAATAATATATACATACTGTTTGAAATCGTTCATTGGCATCAATGAAACCTATCTAATGATTATTTTGTTGTTGCCACGAACTGATGAATATATTCTATTGAATTCATTCATTTTGATGCTATATGAATTCCTACATATGAGTTCGAAGAATTCGTCTTTGTAGGGTGAGCCACCCTCATTTCACAATATACAACATTTTACAATAAACCAATTTGCATTTCATTCTGAGCAGAAAGAGCTTTTAAAATTCTATGTTATCACAAAGTTAGTTCGAGAAAGGAAATGTGGGTTTTCAGGAAGTTTCGAGTGGTAGTATCAATTCTGTTTGTTGACAACTGATTCCATTAATAAATCCAAAACAATTTGAACAAATCAGAGAAACAGCACATTGTCATCGAAGAAGTGTTAGATATCAAAGGTTTTCAACATATGTTCAAGGTTATAACTCTATCTATATTTCAATCATAACTCAGGTGTATGAATTGATCCTAGTTATAAAATTCATTATACAAGGTGTCTCAGAGCAACGTACCATAAATTCTACAGGGTTAACTATTGAAATCTAATTACCTCTATACGATACTACACCGTTAAGCTGTTATAGAGGGGGTTGAAGAATGATTTTATTTTCAGATTTTTTTAAATCATTGGAAGGTAATGCTCTATAATTTGTAGGGTGATTTAATCTGCATGAAATACATGTCATATCAATTTAATGAATATATAGGGAGATAGGTATTCCGCATTATCTTCGATAAAAATAGATGTAACTTTTTTGGAGTACACCACCGAGCACATATTTTTCAATGAACGACAAAATCTGGTACTTAACTTTTATCTAACTGCAGTTTTTAATCTTTTTTCATGGTTTTCATTTTGGTGCTTCCCCATATTTGTATCATGATGTGATTATTATGAAGATGTAGAGTATCATGTTTCGCAAGTTTTAACCTCATTCGTGTTGAATTATTGACCATAATACTCATGTGTTCATGAACTACTGCAGTTTATTATGATGAGGTTGTTGGTCATCTTCAAATGTTTTTCACGAATGAAGTTTTATTGCGAAAAAAAGAATGACATTTGGAATCGACCAGCTCCCAGATAATTTATGGAGATGATGAATATTGATCAGAAATTTAACATGCATTTTGATCCTACAGGGTGTTCAAAAATGAGAAACACTATCAAATATCGCGTGTTATTGAACACCTAAACATTGTTTAGCTTCGTCGAAACCTATATCAGCTGACATCCTATTGAAATATCTATAGGATCGTGTGAAATGATACAGGGTGTGCCTTTTGAAAGAATTGAGTTACGAGTATATGCATTTTCAGAAACAGTATTTGATGAGAATCGATGAATGTTGAAATATACAGGGTGATCCACGGTGGATGGCCTATTGGAAGTATCTGGAGAACGGAAAGACAGAGCATTCTGAAAATTGGGATGCTCCGATAATTGAACATTCTCTATCCGTCTAAAATATTTTCATCAATACAGTGTTGCCACTTCTATCAGAAAGAACTAGCAACTTCGTTATTTAAAATAGAACACCATGTATTTTATTGCATTTTTAGATTCTTCCTGAAGAGCTGCTTTCATCAATGCATCGCACTTGGGGTCTAGCAGGAATGATTACAGAGATACAGGGTGTTCAAAATCGGGATTTTTCAATTTTAGGATTTTTTTGTGTCGAAACTATTCATTATCGATCAAAACGGATAACATGTCCCTATCTTCACTTCAAATTCACTATCTACTGGAATTTAATTGGAAAAAATACAGGGTGCTTCAAGATTCAGAATTCTGAGCACCCTATATCAGTTCCAATTGAATGTCAATAGATAGTGAATCGGAAGTTGAGATAGGGACATGTAAGCCGTTTTGTTCTATAATGAATAATTTGAACACAAAAAAATCCTAAAATTTATCATATATCTCTGTTATCATTTCTGCTAGACCCCACGTGTGATAAATTGATGAAATTATCTCTTCAGGAAGAATCTTCAAATGCAATGAAATACAGGGGCTTTAGTCAAAATAACGAAGTTGCTAGTTGTTTCTCATAGAAGTGGCAACACTGTATCGATGAAAATATTCTAAACGGATAGAAAATGTTCAATTATTATCAAAGCATCCCAATTTTCAGAATGTTCTGTCTTCTCGTTCTCAAGATACTTCTAATAGGCCATCCACCGTGGATCACCCGTATACCTACATAATTGGTTTTTCATGAATTGATATGTGGAATCTGAGAACAGCGGGCGGTTAAGCGCACTTTACGGCCCGCAAGTGCATAATAGTTATATATGTATCAAGGGCGTAAAGTAGGCGTTCATGCCCGATGGCGCTAGCCGAGGGCCATTACACGCTTAAGGCCATAAACGCATTTCACGCACGTGATACATACAACACTTTATGCACTAGTGGTTTATTTTCTGACTCAAAAGTAATGACGATAGATATCGATAAACTAATATTACCCCGAATTTGATTTGTTATGTATAATTTCAGTAATTGAGAGAAGCGTAATGTTCGTGGATGATTCACACATAATTATATCGTACGAATATTGCAATTATCGTAATAGTGAAACTCTTTGATCTCTAGAAGAGATTAATTCTGCAGAATTTTACAATATGCATACCCAGTACATATACCTACCTAATTTTGACGTTGTCAAGCATAGCTGATGGTTGTTGTCTATAGCAATACATCCAATAAACAAGCTGAATTGTCATTCTTTGACTGAAAAGTAAAAATTAGTGATAATAATTATAGCGAGACTATGGAATCGGATAAAGAAGAAGTTTATGATATACCGCTGGATATAATAGAATCTAGGAAAATGATTATAGGTTTTTCATGAATTGATATGTGGATATAAGAAAACTGAGAACAGTTGGCGGTAAACTGCTCTTTACGGCCCGCGAGCCATAATGAGCCCGCGGTAGGTAAAGTGTAACTTAACGCCCGCAGAACCGGGCGGTAAAGTGCACTTTACGGCACGCTAGTGCATAAAATAGTTTATTATATATTTCTCAAGACCAAACATAACAATTTCATTTCTAATGATTGGTGCTCATTATTACATATTGAATTTTTGTTTCAGTTCAACAATGGCTCTTTTCAACAAGGCAACCGTCATCCTTCTAATAGTTGCTTTCGCAATGGTGATCAGCACCACTGAGGCATCAGTCCGCGTAGGACCATGTGACCAGGTCTGCAGCAGGATCAACGCTGAAAAGGACGAGTGCTGCAGAGCTCACGGATACTCATCTCACGCTCACTGTAGTGGCGGAATGCATTGTAATTAGCGATGATACTCACTGTACGCGCCCAATCAATCAAAATTTATATTAACTGTACCAGATCTGGATTAATTAAACTTTCACAACAATGGTATCTTCGATGCTTTATTTTGAACCCGCCAGGTAAATCCTACCAGGAATGTCACATAAAGTTGTTGATGCCAAGTTTCAAATCCTCTTTCAAATATTGGAAAAATATTCGAGATAGGGTTTTGAAAATTGGTGAGCAGCTAGTAGGTATACCAAATTACTTATTCATTGACGGAACAATTTTTGTTCTATCACTGTCGGTTTTACTGGAAACGACCCCAACTCTTGATTCTCGAAGGGGACACCCTGTATTGTTTTCCATAATCGATTAGGGATTGTCATAACGAATTCATCGATACCGGGTTTGATATGGTTATTTCGAACGAACGCAGATATTCGCGTTCTAAGTTTCCATATGCTCAATGAGTTTGACAGAGGAAGAAGTTTTGATATTGGGAAGTCACACCCATTAAGCTTATGGGAACTTCGACAAAGATCTTTGTTATTGTTCGAAATAACCCTATCACACTCGGTATCGTTTAATTCGTCATGATAATCCCTAACCGATTATGGAATACATTACGGGGGGTGTCCCATTTGAAAATCAAAAGTTGGGGTCATTTCATGAGTTAATTAGCAATTTGATATACTTGCTACCCACCAATTTTCAAAACCCTATCTCGAATATTTCAAAAATTACACTCCTGGCCGTTTTTTGTGCACTTCTCTGTATGCTGCGACTTACTGCAGGCCACATTGTTTTCAATTATTACTCTTATACCTTACTCACCAAACGTTACATCAGTAAGCTTGATTTTCTGCTCAGTTCATTTAACTCAGTGAATTTTTAAGCAGCTCATTTTATTATTTATTCACAACAGAGTTTGGTACACTATTGAATTATAAAACACATTGCCTCGGCCTGAATTCTATTCCTAAGACATATTGGTGTCCTGAAAAGAATAGGTTGGTTATTTGAGAAAGTTATACAGTGATGAATACCAAAATAAACAGGGCGTCACGTTAACAAATATATATAAATTAAGATTAACTCACCAAGTAGATAGAAACTGACATGTTGTTCTTTAATCACATCCTAGGAAAACGTCGTTGGTTGTTTCTCAGTCAATAAAAACCTGAAAAGAAAATAATGCTAGTGAAATTTGGACCAGACGGCAGTATGAAAATTTAACAGGAAAGGCCAAGTAGATACTCTACACTTACCTCTCAAATGTACATAGGGTATATTCAATGGGTTTTGACTTCATGAAAGAGATATTTTTCTTTTAAAAATCCTATTACGATATGTGGTTATCCAATGTTTACTAGTTCAAAATAGTAGGGTTATGTATCCTTAATGTCAAAGGACCTTAATTCTTCTTCTTAAAATTTCGCCTACGAGATATGTTATTTCTTCTGACATTTCAATCGTGAGTCCCAAATGGTACTAATATGGTATTTCTCTAGCCACAACCCAAGGGCATCACGTCTACTAATTGACAGATTTCACCACTGTATCTTTTTCGGACTGATGCTGTTGGCTGCCGATGACTTTTGTCATGACGTAATTTTCTGCTCAAAACTATGGATTCGTTGATTTCCATGCCAACAAATCTGTGTTTCATGTCAATTCCAAAGTTGAGGAAAATTGACAATTTTTCAAAAATTTAACGACATTTCCATTTCCGTTCATGAAGGTGGACAAGAATGGTGAGTTCGGCAGATATCTACATTTTCTTTTCGAGTCAAAAATATTTCTTCGATAGATTTTATCAATAATAAAATCTGTCGATTATGCAAGTGCAGAGGACTGTGGAATCTTTAAATTATTTTTCTGGAAATGCGCAACTGAAGATTTCGGTTATCTTGGCCACGAGGTAGGAGATGACATCTGAAGGAACAGGAAGCTCATATGGTCCACCAGCACGATTCCACTTCACTGATGTATTCAATTGTTCTAGGTGAACCTTCTGACGACCAGAGGTTATATTCAATTCTAAATTTATAATGTCCATCGAAATTCCTAAGTACATTTGAAAGAATGCAGCAAATGTTTCTAAAAATCCACCCCAATACCGGATCGATGAGGAAAGAAGAAATAATAACCATGGCAAAATAAAACAATTTTGAAATATATGCACAAATTCAACAATTCTGACATACCATATATGTGATCATAGTATTCACCTAACTCATTATGTTTTGTGACAAATAAATACTTTTTAATACTATATTGAATTTTTCATAGGACCCAGTAAGATACTTTTCCTACGACTACTACTGTAAGTGATGGATATTGTACACAAAACAATGGCAGTAAGCTTCCCCTCACACACGTGTGCGTAAAGAGAGCGATCGCACGGTTTTCATAGGTATGTTGATAGATGACTTTGTTTTGTTGCTTAGGCGATGTGTCAATAACAATTAACGATTTCATTAATGTCACTTGCTAGGTGGGTAGGTACTTATCTTTTTATCAATCAATCCAGCTATCCACCGAAACCGAAAGCATCAGGTAAGTTATATTTTTTGAAAATATATGATGATCTTCTATTGATAATCCTCAATTTCAGTTAAAAAAATGATATCAAGCGATGACGATGAGCAGATTATTTCTACACCACCAGAAATGTTGGAAAAAGCTAGAATGGTAAAAAATGAGTTGCTACCCGCTAAAGGCCGATTCATGCAACAGTCATTATGATTACATTTTCATTACATTATAAATTAAGAATGTTGAGTACTCTACTCTTATGTCATAGAATGCGTTCATGCAACACATTAACACATTTTCATTACATTTTCATCACATTAGTGCACTAAGAAGTTGACCAACTTCTAACTTTTCATTATAATTACATTATAGTTCTAGTGAAAACGACTGATTTGCAAGATTAGATCATTGAATGATCATTTTTTCCACAAAACTATTTGTGATTCACCTCAGATATTATATTCAATATAAATCCATATTCTCAAATAACCTGTAAACATTTGTGAAATCCAAGCAGATCACATAACCTCGAATAATCAGTTCGTTATGAGCATGCGTTGCATGAACGGGTAGTCCGTGGCTAGTGAAAATGTAATTTTAATGTAGTGAAAATGTAATTATAATGAATGTTGCATGAATCCGCCTTTAGTCTCGTGAATAATACGAAATAGCACATCAAAAATTCCTGGACTGGAGAATTAGAAATAATACCGTGTCATTTTCGGAAAAATCCTTTTAGTATATTTTCAAGAATAATCAAATTCGATGAAATCATCATCACTCTGGTCGATATATTCCATGTTACGATCAACACTAAATATCAATCACAATATTAATATAGCAACATATCCCATCCCAGACAGCACCAGATATTCCATGAATCTCCCTATCATATTCCTTTTGGAATATTGGAATATTCTAGAAATGATCTGGAATATTCCGGAATATCTGTGGATTATTCTCTAAATATGCGAATGGGAATTCCTCAGATATTCATAAAATATACCCAAAAGAATATTCTATGTTGAATGTTCCTGGAATATTCCCATAAACATATTCTAAAATGAAAAAAAGTGACCCAAGTAGGGATCGAACTCGTGACCTCAAGACTATCACTTTAAATCATTTATTTGTCATCCTAGTTTTTACATCACTTCGCAAATTACAAACACATATAGATATGAAAGAACATAAAACAGAACTCCTTCTGTGTGCTGTGTCCTCCGCGTGGTGCAGAGGTGGCTGATGTTGGCCAAGGAATGTGAGTGTATATGCGAGGTGTTAGTCACAGAGGCCTATCTCCTAGGGCCGAGCCCTTTATATAGGTAATTTCATCGAGGTCACCCAGGGGGGTGGGGGAGTTGATCAATCGCTCTCAGTGGTGAATAGGTTCTTCTTTGTGATGGAGGAAAATCAAAATTGGAAAAACAAAAACCTCCTTCTGATTTGTCTCGGCCAGACCTACCCACACCCTGCACCCGACTCTGGCTGTGAGGCCACTCATCAGGACCAGGAGCGTCCGCACGTCTGACCGAGTTCAGTGTCAGTTTGTCACTCCTTGAGTGGCAGTGACACTATTTTATTTGCGTTTTTTTTTCATTTTGGGGGGGGAGGTTGTGCAGTCTGGGCCCTCCTCAGAGCCCTGTAGATGTTGTTGGGCTGTGGGGGGGGGTCCCGACTATTATAGATTATCTGGCTCCTCAAAAACATCGGTTGATGCATATATCAGCCCATGTTTTTTGCGGATGTTGTGATGCCTTCTCGTTGTGGTCATATTCCGGGTAAGGTCACTTCCAGCGATGTGGTATTTGTAGAATTCATTGGAAATTTTCCGGATATAGTCACTGACTCTAGGCAAATTACCACATCTCTCGTGGAGATCTGCCACTCGTGAGTATCTATCACCGTTGGTGATAATACGGAGTACTTTGTTCTGCAGCACCTGCAACCTATTCATATGGGTAGGTGGGATGCTGCAGAACACCGGACACGCATATGTCATTACAGGCCTGATGATTTGCTTGTATACCAGGACCTTGTTCTCCAACGAAAGAGGGGAGGTCCTGGATATCAAGGGGTACATTTTCTTGATGGCATTTTGTGTCTTTTGGATCAGGTAGTTAGTGTTTTTCCAGAATGACATACGGGTGTCCAACTTGACTCCCAGGTATTTCACGGGGGTGATGTCTCTCACCTCAACCCCTTTGACGGTCAAAGGTCTGCTCAACGTAGAGTTATTAACTTTTCGGTGGAAATTGATAACTTCCGTTTTCGCACCGTTGATGCGGATCTTCGACTCGTCAAAGTACGGTATGATTCCCCTGTCCAGATGGATCTGGATCTGTGCCCTGGCGATATTCGAGTCGTCCGAGTGGGCATATATAGC